TATATTATCTAATCATTATTAATATTAATATAATAAAAGTTAGAAAACAGTAATGCGAAAAAAAAATTTGTTAAAAGCTCTTATATATAATAATAAATAACTTATAAAACCGTTTTTTGCTTTTAATTTCTTCCTTCCCCAAGAAAACCATCCAAATCATATATTTTCTGAAAGCTCTTAATGTACTCTGTCTTATCATACTAAAACAATCTCAATAGAGCTGATTTCTGAAAAGAATTAAGCTTCCGAAGTCAAAAATCATAGGTTTCTTTGAGAGGCTATTACTCCATAACTGGAAGAGTTACAAATGCATAAAGTTCGCGTTTTAAAAATCAAAGGCAAGTGATTGTTTTTACTTAGAGGCACAAAAATTGTTTAATAATGAGTTTATGTTCAATTCATTCGCCAAAGTCCATTGTACAGAAAACGTGTCATGTCGATCATATATTAAAATCAGTCACTGTGAAATGTCGTCCGACTAATAGGAATCAAATCGGAAATTAAAAAAATTTTTTGGCAACATGCCACTTTTTATTTTTGTTATTTATATTATTACATAGCTCACTTGCACATGCTCAATTGAAAAACTGTTAATATCAATAATATTTTATTTTTGAGATTATAAAAATTAAAGCAAACTAGATATTTATATAAAATATAAACATTGGTTTTTTTCTTTATATATGACTTGAATTTGCATTATTTCTTTTTTTGCAATATTCAATAATTTTTTCAATAATTTTCTTGTTCACCCAAATCTCTTAAATAATCTTCCATGGTAAATTTTTTAATTTGTGATTGATTTGATGTTATTGTTGATGATCTGATAACGTTTGTGGTAATCTGATAGTATTGGTGAAGTTGAAAAATGATAAAAATGATGGAAATGGTGATCGTTTCAACAACATCATTACTAACAATATCATAATTGTTAATAGTATTATTGCTCATCATCATCGATAATAATAATATCCATTGGTTCTTCCTGATTCTATTATCCATTAAAATAGCTATTTCAGTGGCAATGATTATTGAACTGGATTAATAGGAAATATCAAAGAAATCATAATATATAGATAGAACCACAATACTTATCGATTTTTTCTCTATAAGTTCCTATAATTTCCTTTAAATACGGGTCATAATCAAAACAAACAAAAAAAATAATAACTACTTCAGTATATTTACCAAATTAGCATCATTAAATTCATTCATTAAATAATGACTTCTACACTAACATCTTTATTTAATTCGTGAGTCTCAACAGCGCCAATCAATTCATTAACTTCTATGCAAACATCCTTATTCAATTCATTAGCATCAGCCATTCCATTAACTTCTATACACAACGTCCTTCCTTATTCAATTCATTAGAACCAATAGCATCAGCCACTTCATTAACTTCTACACCAACATCCTTATTCGATTCATTAGATTCAACAGCAACGGTCATTTCATTGACTTCTACACTGACACCAACATCCTTATTCAATTCATTAGGCTCAATAGCATCAGTCAATTGATCAACTTCTTTTACACAAACATTTTTATTCAATTCATTGACTTTTTCTACACAAATATCCATATTTAATTCATTAGACTCAACAGCAATGGCCATTTCCTTGACTTTTTATACTGGCACTGACATCCTTATCCAATTCATTAGATTAACTCAACGACAACAGTCATTTAATTGACTTTTAAATCACCAACATCCTTATTCAATCCAACAGAGAGGGATTGATTATAGAAAGAAAATTTTAAATTCAATTGAAACAATTTAAGATCAAAAAGGTGATGTGATAATGGTATCAATGAGCTTTGTCAAAAACATCAATTAAAGTCAATATAATAATCATATAGCAACAACAGTAATAATGTTTGTAGTAATTCAGCCAAGGAGATTTCCAAATTTGGAATTTCCAAATACTGTAATGATTAACATTCTAGATTCATTGTGTAATTCTAAAAAAGAATCAAAACAAAAAATGATTGGCTAAATTTATGCAGATCCTTTCATATATAAATTAAACCCGTTGAGTTTAGCATAGCGGGCTTTCTCTGTGATTGGTCAATTTTAAATGACGATCATTAACAAATTTAAAGTTTAAAATTTTATTTTGTATTTGTAAAATTCAACGAATGTTTTTAATGAAATAATAATAAACTTATGAAGTGTTAAACAATGATAAAAGATTATCTAAAATTGTATCTACAGAAGAATCTAAAGAAATATTTTCGCTATCATCAACATCCTCTAAATTACTTTCATCATCATCATTATTTTCTACAATTAAATTATCCTCAGAATTTAAACTATTTTGAAAAATGTTAGAATTTTCAATAATACCTTTTGTTAAATATTCATTGCAATAGATGCATTGTTCTGAAAGATTTAACAAAAAGCATTCATGATGATATGAGTGACCACATGATAAATTACAACCAAAATTATAAGGAAGCTCACATTCTTCCAAATCACAATATTTGTTAGATTTTGGTGGAAAAGATGTATTCCATGCTAATGGGAGTAATTTAACATCTATAACTGTATCTAGTGAAGGAAGTTTATATTGTGGTCTTTTATATTTACCTGATCTATTTGATGTATCAACTGCTGCATTACCTAGATTATCATTCACATTCATAAAAAGGTTCAATAAAAATATTGCTGCTTTCTTTTTCATAAAATCTAACTCCTTTTCTGTATATGTTATATTGTGTGTATCTGAAAATTTTTCTTTAAATTTATTGTTTCCATGTTTTTGATCAATATTTTTTGCTTGTCTTATGATGTTTTCACTTGAGCTTGATTCATTGGTCTGAAGACGAAGCGATGAGTGAAAATTTTCCACATAGTAGTCATTGAACAAGTGGAGATTTTGTTCAATAACCTGTGCCATAGGGTGATGTGTACTGAACCAATAAAACACATCACTAAAAAAGGCCAGTGGTAATTTGTTGTAATTCTTTCGGCCATATTTGAAAAAAAGAACCCAAGCACGAAACATTGCTTCTTTATAAGCTGGCCAATGTCCACTTCGAAATATCACTGGATAAAAATCTAAAACAAGTGGAATAACATTATCTAAAAGGTCTAGTAAATATCTTACCTCAGTATCTTTACAATTTAAAAATTTTTTGATGACATCTACTCTTATTAACTTCCATCCAGCAGAAGCTAGTTCAAGTAACACATTAATTTTATAGGGCATAGGCTTCTTTGATAGTGGTTTTTTCTTCATATAGATCTCACAATATAGTTTGTTAAAGAATGCATGATTTAACTTAAGAACTGTTTCCCGACTATTTAAAGATACATGAAGAGGACCTATCATGGGAATTATATGAAGTAGCAAGGGAGAAATATTGAATGTATTTCTAGAATTAAAATAATTTGAAATAGCACGCCGTAGATTGAACTGCCCAGGATAATCCAATGAAGCTGGGAGAGCATATAGTCCAAGATATGACTCTAATTCTGGAACATTCAAAAGATTGTTTATAGCTTTCACATAATCTCTAGTGGAATGTAAGCTCCCTTCTACTAGATTTACAAGTTTAGTATTTTTCATACTTCTGTCTTCTCTTCGCTGTCTTATCCTATTATCATAACTATGAACAAGAAGCATCTCAACCTGCTCTTCATGATTAGCAGCTTTGTGTAAATTTTTAGCAAAAAATAACTTACGTTCATTATATGTCAGCCAAAGATAGGGAAAAATTGATTGCTGTAAATTTTCAATTATAAGATTATGATCAATGCCTCTTGGGTTGTGAATATTCTTATCTGTAAATGGGTTGTTAAAGGGAGGTGCTGGAATTCTAGGTGCTGCTTTCAATAGAATTGTTTGGAAGTGATGAACCTCAGATGTTGTTGTAGTGTCAGCACGTCTCTTTGTATGAATATTGTGATAATCATCCAAATTAAGAATCATTAAATCATCCATCTACTCATTGACATTATTGTTGTTATGGTTAATACAATTAATAACAATTCAGATAAATATATAGTATATATTAATGCTTACGTGTTCTGAAACAAATTCTCCAACTGTCTCAGAGTGAATTAATTCATTCCTTTTTTTATGTTTTGTAACTGTTTCACGCCTAATACTTATTCCAGCTCCTGCAAATGTTTCAATTGCTGATGCTGATGCACCAGCATCATCCAACATGTAGCCTATTTCTGCTTTGATGCCATTAATAAACTTATTATTCAAGCCTGCTAAAAAATAACAGAACATCACCAAGCGCTTTTTATTTTTTTCATTGGTCATGTGACTCTTAGATGTTGGATTAGTTCCAGTATAAAGAGAGTCAAAAAAGCCTTTTAGTGATGGTTCTGTATCTTCCAGCATAGTTTTGAATTCATCAGGATCAAAAATAGGGTCTTGATTCTCCTTTCTTTGTTTAGTATATAAAACACCAGTCATTAAACGAATCTTTTTATCTAATGGAATTAAATCTGAGAAACTAAATTGTTAACACTTATACATAAATAATAAATAACCTAAATATAAAAGAATTTTTTATCAAAAAATATACCTAATTTTGCTTCTTTTAATTCTTCACAAATTTCCTGGTAAGCTTTTTCTAATTCTTTATACTGGTCTTCAGTGTATAAAATATCACTTCGTAATGCATATGTATTGTTGTGAAATTTTATCAACTCATCTTCTTGTGTTACTTTTGGTCTTGATGCTGGATGTGGATAGTTTTGAAATGTTTCATCATGATCACTAGAATACTTACAATGATTGCAAAAAAGTGTGTCAGATGGAAGTTTAAAAAATTCAATTAAACGAATAGGTGCCTTATCAAGTTTTGTATCTTTTGATGAAGACACTGAATACTCCTTGTGTTTTGGATGTCCACATTCTTGTTTTTTAGCAATCTTCTGTCTTTTTCCTGCGTTAACAATTAATTTGTTGTGATGTTTTCTACATAAAGCTTTTCCTACCAAATCTAGATGTATGTTCTCCTCAGGTATCTTCGCATTTTCCGTAATGAAAGAAGCACCATTTCGTTCATAGTCACACTCAATGTTGTATTTACCTTCAAGGTCACAGTATTGTGGTTTGTTGAAACGTTTTGTTGAGCTAATAAAATAAAAATATATACGCGTGCATAAAAAAAAAAATAAATTATAAATAATTCAAAAAAGTTTAGCCGTTTTTCTGTGAATGCTTGAAAGTTCTTCTTATCTAACTTCTGAATTACCTTGTCATTTTTCAAATTACTTTGAAAATATATTAAGTAGAACCTAAGCTTTTTATTGGTATGTGTCTTATAAGCCAGAAATAATTTTTGGTGGCCAGAAAAGGGTTTAAAGTCAGATGATGAAAAATTTAATAAAGAACTCTATTATGTACCTTGTCGATCAACCAATCAAATTTAAGCCCGCTATGCTTGAACACCCCTATTATTAAAAATAACCCCTGATTTTTGTCATAAATATAGAAATGATATGCGATTCCCGAGTTTTTGGGTCAAATCTTTTTTTTTCAATTTTCTCAAAATTATGATTTTGCCAGACGAGGGAATAAGTCCAATGCGTCAAAACTGCTGGTAAAAAATTAAGGTTTGTGGCTAATTTTGTTAATACAAATTGTTCTTCGATAAATGGGGCCTAAAGACTGCATTTAAAGGAACTCACTATTGATTTTTAAAACTTTAAAATAAAAATATCTCAAAATTTACCATGCAAAATGGTATGACTTCTAATCTAAAAATACTCCAAATGAAGAGTTGTATATAGTAACGGTGGTAGCATTAACTCAAAATTACTTTTATTCACATTATGGTCCTTTTCTATCGAAAAACCCCCGAATATAAAGATGACGTCATGGAATTTACCCAACTTGATTGGATTTAAAAAAGTATCAAAAAAATGAAATTTTATTTTCATAAAAAAAATTTATTTTCAAGTCTTAAACGCGTTTCATAGAATAATCTTTCCATCTATTTTTTAAGCCAAAAAAAAAAATGTCAGCGGAAGAAAAAAAGAAAAAATTAGAACAAATAGCTGCAAGACGTAAAGCACAAACTGAAGCTGAAAAAGAAAAACTTGAGTTGCGTTCAACTATCATATAGATTTTGTTATTGGAAAAAAGAAAGACGATAAATATAAATTTTTTATACTTAATTTTTTTTTTTTTTTAAAAAAAAAACATTAAAAAAATAATAAAAGGAAAAAGGAAAAAAACCCCCCAAAATCTACTATTGCTACTACCTCCAGAACCTCATCAACAACTAAAAAATCAGCTAGTCCTTTAACTAAGACTACACCCAAAAGATCAACCTCACAACTAGAAAAAGGCGGTAGATCGATTCGTGATGACCATGATGATTTTATTGTGGATGATGATGATAAAGGTTTTTTTTGTTATTTTATTTTTAAAAGATTACTATTTATTTGTTTATTTGAGATTATTAGATAAATTTTAAAATTTATTTTGATAATAAATTATTTCATATATATATATATGCATACACATACATTACTCACTCACATATATATATTAGTTAGCATTTATTGATACTTTATCAAAAAAAATTTTTTGCTTTTTAAATCAATAATTGTTCGAGTATACTAATTAATTTTTGCCAATATAT